TGCGAACTAGTCAAGTTAACTCCTACAACAAATAAATTAACCGCTAAATTAACATCGAACCATTTACAGATAACTAACCTCTGCTCCGCAAAGCAATCAACGGAATATTAAAAGATAAAAATTATTTGAGAATAAATTGAGTCAAAAATATTATATATGATCTATATGTTTATATTACATTACAATTATTTAAATATTTTTTATGTATACGATAATAAAGTAAAATAGTCATAGAGGTATTTATCTCAAAAACATATTGCAAGTATATATATATACATATATATTTAAATAAAATTTAAATAACAACTTTTATGCCTTTTCTACTTCATTATCACTTATGCACAAAATATTTACCTAATTATAATATAATATATAACTACTGATAATTATAAAAAAAAAATTATAATTACATTAAATAATTAGCTGTATAGATCAATTACTTATAAACTGTTGTATTTTTAACATATGCTTGTCTAAAATAAACAATTAAAAATATATTTTATCACCTTTAAGGTAAGATAACGCATTTTGTGATTATTTATACTCGCTGCATTAAAAATTCTTTATATAAATACAATAAAATATAATAAATACCGGTTGACAGTTCTTAAGGTAACCGAGAGCGTTAAAGAATAATATTTTTTACATTTTTTAAAAAGTGCTTTCTTTAAAACTTAATATTTAATATTTATAGTTTCATACATGGACTAGATTGGATCTATGATCTTATAAGGGGACTTTCATTTTAATATAAAATAAAATCAACAATAACTATCTACGTTGGGCACTTGTCAGTAATCACTTATATTATGTTGAAGCTATTTGAGCCAGTGCACTTGAGCACTTTTACTCTTTTTTAACTCGAGGTATTTTCAGAATCCCTTGACTGGATTATTGCTTATCACCTCATCAGACTAAGCAATAATTGATCTCATACCTCACCGAGAAGTCTGTAAACATTTTGAGATTTAATAACGCGGTGTTGATAAGTCTGTCAGTTTTCGCAAATAATTTCAGGGCTCTATCCTTTATGTATTTTTTGATGGGATCAATCTTGAGGTCCCTGAGGATATCATTCTTCCTAATGTACCACGGTACTTTGAAAAGTCTTCTCAGAGCCTGGCTTTGTGCAATTTCTAGCTGGCTGATAGTAGTGTTTGAAGTTTTGCTAATTTTCTGTTTAAACAATAAATTGTATAATAATAAACAATAAATATTTATAATATAACCTAATATATATAAAATTTCAGATCATGACTTTTGAAATTATGAATATTGCACATATGATATCGATTTTATCTGATACTTTTGTTTATCGTAAACTAATTTAAAACTATAGAAATCTATAGAAATTAATTTCAAAGGTCTATTTTCATACACCATTTCTATTTCTATCTAATACCATTTAAAGTTCATTAATACTTAAAAATTTTAATTTAGATAATTTCATTAACTTAAAAGAAAGCAAAATTTAATATATAAAGATTTTAATTTAGGCACTTTCATTAACTCTAAAATATATCTATGACTTCATATAAAGCTCTTTATGTTGTGGTTTCATTAATCTTCAAAATGAAATGATTTGTTGATTTGACAAACTTATCTATCTAGTTTATAATTCGATGTTTAATTAAATTTTTAAATATCAATTTTTAATGCAATATTTTAATCACAATAATAAAAATTATAAGTTTTCGTTTTCTTACTATACCACGTACGAGTATCTAAAAATTCAAAATAGTTAAAACATCTGTTCACATTGATGACATACGTCCTAAATAGCTTTTTTTGACCTTAAATAGATCTATCACGAAATAGATATAGGTATAACTAAATTGCTTTAAAAGTAATCTTAAAGAAACGAATTTAATAATCATCTTTAAACACATCCAACGGTTTCCTATTATTAACATAATAATTAGTTACCAAAAAAGTAACACTAATTTTGATTATGATTATATTAAATTATATTATTAAGTAGTCAAGACTTATGTGTGTAACATCATTATAAGTATATAATTTATATACAAATTTGGTTGAATTCTTATCTCATTTAAATTTTTGTATATTTTCATCAAAAAAATTTGCAAAAATTTAAAATATGACTAAAAGATTTTGTGAGAATTAATTTATCAAAGAATTATAACGAATTGCCATATATTGAGTTACTTAAATGGGTCAAAACATCCGTGGAATGAAATGATTCACCACGGAATTTAAAAGAATTCAAAAACAATTGTTTGAAGTAAATTCTTTTTTTTTTTGAATTACCTTAAATTTAAAATTTTTATAAGAAATACAATAATATTTGATTGATTTATGTAATTTCACTGAAGTTTTTAGCATTCATTTGAGCTCAACTCTAAGCAATTGACTTTTGACATATGGAAAATATGGTTTTTGCTGAGCTCTATTTTATACCTGAATATTATTTTTTTGATTTTAGATATCCATATACTTGAAGCTAGAAATAACATCAAAATCTATTAATTTAAAATGTTCTCACATAATTGGTTGTCTAATTCAAATACACGAAAGTGAATTATTATGCCACTGAAGAAATAAATATAATACATGATTATTAAGAAGTATCAGAAACTTATTGCTAACTCCAATTTAATTGAGGTCAGTTTAAAACAATGAACAAAAAATGTTAGTGTTCAAAAATACAATCAATGATCTGCTCTTATTATATCACAAGTATGAATTTTTAACAGTTGATCTATTATCCAAGATTAGAGAACATATTTGTACTTTAATGAGGAGGAATATATCTTTGATGATTACTCTGAACACTTTAGTAAACAATTCGTGGGTAGACAACCTAAAAATATATCTTATTTCGACATATGTACTATAGGTTGGTTTAGAAAGCAGTTTCTTCATTCTTTAAAGAAATTTCTTATCATTCTTATCAAATTTAACTTTTAAGATTTTTAAATAATTGGAAAAATATTTTTAAATTTTTAAATATATGATAAATATTTTATATGATAAGCGTTTGTGTAACAATTAAATTTTGGTACAGCCATATATGGGTTATAATAACCTAAATAGGTAATTATAGGTATTCACATAACATTCAATATCTGTAAATCTGTGACTTTGTATTACCTCAAAAAAGCACAACTAAGTAGCAAGATAAGATCACTTGTACCTCTACAAGTGATACCGAACTGTTTTTTAAGCGCCTGCCAAATATTACAATTATTTTGTAATTAAAATTTTGGCATGTCCAAATATTGGTATAACTAAAAAAATTCGTTATATTAAATTTGTTCCACTTAAAATACTCACCAAGGCTTTATTTACGTGCTCACATACCAACGCTGTATTATATTTATTTATATATGAGACACATTAGATATGTTCGACATCGCTGGCTTAAACTAAAAAAAATGTGACCATCTATCTACGACTTATCTACGTCTAAAGAACTAATGTGTCACTTGTATTATGATATTGACTACTAGGAAAGTCAATTATAGTTCTTATAATTATATAATTACATCTAGCTATTTTTTTTTGAGCGCTGAAACTGTTTGTGTATTCTGTGGTTAATTCAGAATTAAATTTTCTTAAGACAAATGCTATATTTATTCCATCAGAAAGATATGCTGCCAACTATATTCTTGTTAAATCACCTGAATAAGTCATTATCATAAATCAGTGGTTCACCCAAGTGTTACAGTGTATCACCAGTGATCACAGAAACTATTGAGTAAATGTGCTTTAGACAGTAAAATTCGCATTTCATCAAGAAAAAAAGAAGACGATGAACTAGAAAAATAATTAACTAGGCATGATTCAAATCAATAATATTATGTGCCTTGTAACTGAGCATTACCTAACTTCAGGTGCTCACAGATATTTAAATTCGTAATAGACGACATCTGCTAAGAAGAAAAAAAGGAACTATCATGCTCTCAGTTATTGTGCTTTGAAAAATCTATTCTACAATTTATGTGAAGCCATTTTTCGAAGGATGTTAAATACTTTTTGATTTAAGTTTGTAGCCGACGTTCTTTACAACCTCTGCCAAACGAAAAAAAAAAACACTATCAAGCTCTCTAAGCTTTTTTAAAACCATTTTTTGAAGAATATTACAGGTATAAATCGATTAAAGTGATACACATAAGTCTTGAATTAGAAATAGACATATTACAGAAGTCCTTTTTACAAGACTACTACTTTTTACGAGACACATAAGTCTTGAATTAGAAATACACATATTACAGAAGTCCTTTTTACAAGACTACTACCAAACATTAAATCACTAGAAGTGACAACATTTAATAACAAGGAAAGCGCTACGGACTCAGAAATATTGTATTTAGTATATGTTAGAGAATCACTCACAAATATAATGTAACTATTTCTGACTTATATATATAATTAAAAATTTTTTGTTTATTTTAATTTTATATTAGCAAATAATATTTTTATGGGGTGAATTAAAGTTTTTCAACTATTTCCCACGGATAAAAATTATCAACAATTTATTTTATTGCACTTAAATATGTGATAAGATTAATTTAGAAAACCTTTGTTAAATGGTATCTTTGTAAAATAAAAATAGTAAGACAAGTGTTTATAAATATATGTTAAGTAGTTGTTTTTTTTTTATAGTAAACGGTTATTAATTAAATAATTTATGTTATAAACAACTCATCAGCAAATTATTATTCATTGCAAATTTCAAAAATGCTAAATTACGTGTTAAATGTATCTTAACTTGACTTGGCGGTAGTACGACAAACAATTTAGAAAAAAATTTAAACCAGATACGTGTTATTGACGTGAAATTTAAAAATTCCTTTATGATGTCATCATAATGAATCTTATTTTTTTATTGTTGTATTTTTTTTTTTATTAATTTTTATTAAGTATATAGTGAATATACGATATATTCATTGACACGTCTTTACTGTCATTTTGAAATATCTCCGGTGTCTCTTAACGATGCTTTTTCGTATCTTTTGACCACCACCTTTACTAACCTTTTGCAAAATTTTTTATAAAAGTTTTTGTTTTCTTGCGGAGACGTTTACGATTTCACAAATATTTTACCGGTGGAACCACAAAACGAAAACAATTCTACGAGCTTCAAATACACAATAAGTCACTTTGAACCAAAGACAAAAAAAGTAAATAGAGATAAAGCAACACGAACTTTTTTTTCGCTTTTGAAACTTTTAATTTTTTTTTTTTTTGTTGTTTAATATACAAGTAATTTTTAATACTGATTTATTTTTAAATTATTTCGTAATTCGTTTTTAATAAGCGCTAGGTATGAAACCTTTTTTCAAAATTCGTTTAAAGCACAAAACACGATCACATCGAACGAGCACCAAAGTTAGACTGACTAAAAGGTTAGAAAGAAATCAAGTCCAACGTATCGCAGCTGCTAATTAACCGCTGACGGTGTTCAGAAATCAGAGTTTACTTCAACCATTGAGTGAGTTGTGTTTTGGCTTTCTATGCGGCTTGAAGCGTTTTGAGTGAAATTCAAGTGATCTGTTCGGATCTGTTCTGATCTGACCGTATATGAAATGCTCGTACAACAAAAACATTGCTTTTTTTGTTTACTGTTTGCAAAAATAAGTTGTTATCGTTTTTTTTGTGTTTTTTTTTTGTTTTTGTTTATTTTTTTTATCTTTACAGATTTGCCCACAATCAGCATTATTAACAATTCGAAAAACATATTAAATTTTTTTAACAAAAAATAACACAAATAAAGTTAAAGCCGAGGCGTACGAGTTATTGAGTTCGACTCAAATGTATAAAACTGAGGAATATTAAAATAAGTATCAATTAGTAATTTTATACACTGAGATTAGAAAAAAATTAAATTAATTTTTTTAAAATTAAAAAAAAACTGAAATAGTCGTAACGTAATAAAAAAAAATGTATAAAAAAGTGCTAAAATATATAAAAGTTTAACTAATTTATATATATATATACATATTTATACACATTTATTTTTGTTTTTAAACTTTAATAGATCTATCTAGCAATTCGTATAATTTTAAATATTTAATTTAGTAGTAGTAGTTATAATATAACTATTAATGACGTTATCTTATAATTGAAATTTTCTTGAATTGCATTAAAACAATTAATACATTAAGAATAATGATTTAAGTTTTTTATATTATTTAATTAATTAAGTTGTGGTTTACTCAATTTGAACAAAAGCTATAATTATTTATGATGTATGCGGAATAAAATAAAGAATAATAAAAGCATTCACATATAATAACTTGTTGCTAGTCTGTGAATAAGAAGACAATAGATAATTATTATTTTTTATATATTGATAATTGTGCATAACGGAATATTAATGTTTTTAATATTACAGCGCATTGTGAGCTAGATTTTTCTTTAAGATTTTACTCAAAATATTCCATATTTCGCATATCGTTCTTTACAGTATTGATCCATATTGTTTGTTCTTTTTTGAGTCTTTTTCGAGTTAGTGCATCTGGGTACTTATACTCTTTGATAGTTGGGGGTTTTCTGCAGAGACCCACACTTCTCACTGACTAATTTATGTATTCCTCAAAAGCTTCGCGATTATTCAATGACTGATCTAAGATCTGTGTACCGCCCCGTGTGGCTAGAGATTATTCTGTCGGTTTTTACGAATACCTTCAGCGCTCTGTCCCATATGTATTTTTTGACCGGGTCTATTATAAAGTCTCTTAGCATGTTATTTGTGCGGATGTGCCAAGGCACTTTAAAGAGTCTTTGGAGAGCCTAACTTTGAGCAACTTGCAGCTTCTGGATAGTAAAGTTGGCAGCTTTGCTAAATGCGACACACCCATAGAGTAGTGCCAGTCAGAATTTCTAGCTATAGATCAACTTTCTGTTCTTCACGCTAAGGTTATTGTGTTTGAAAAGTGGTTGTAAGCAGTGCTGTGTTTTTGCGCAACTACTTTCGACTTATATGTACTTGTGGTAATTGAACCGCTTATCGTACTTTACAATATCGATCCATTTTGTTTGTGGTGTTTTAATCCTTCTTCCTTCCAAGATGTTTATGTGTATATATACTATACTTAGCACATCGTTCTGCAATATCAATCCATCTAATTTGTGGTCTTTTGATCCTGATGTGTATGTATATACATACTTCCTATATCGTTCTCCAGAATATCTTTATTGTCTTTTGTTCCTTCTCATTCCAAAATCTTTATGTTCCAATTTTTCATACACTAATTCACCTGAGTGAATTAAACACGAAGTTTACTTGTTAAATTATAAAAATTGCTAAGGTTTACTTTGTAATTATTTTCAGATTAAAATATATTACACGAGTGCAGAGTTATCCATTTTATATTTCTAAAATTAACATATTTAATACATACTTGTGATTGAGCTAAGACAATTTCATTCTTGCGATATACACCTAGCAAAAAATAAGTTTCATCATTGGAAAAAAATCAATGCTAAAAATCTATATTTTAAAATAACCATTTCTAAATTAAACTTATAGATATCTTGCACACTCTTAATTTTATAGTTCAAACTTAAATTTAAACAAGGCTATATGCTGATGAAGGTGGTATTTGTAGCTCACAAACGATTAGCTATGAAATATTAGCTGTATTTATATCCTGACCTTAGACGTTGGAACGATTATTAATAAAAAAAACTTTATCGCAACAAACCAGACTTCAAATAATATTAGTCATTTAACAGCGATCAGATATAGATAATGCCAAAGATCATTGTATACAAATCTGGATATTGAAAAACAAACGTTTTCAGTCTGTATATTTTATCATAGTGATATGTATAGGAAACTTGCTCTCAATAGATCTTACTTCCAGTTCTTGAGTTATTTAAAATGCAATAATGTTTAGAAATAATTATTACTAAACATATTTTTAAAATACTATGTAAACATTTGTTAGTATCTTTCAATAAGTCTGCTAAATACATTTTTTGTTCCCATTTGTATTTCTTCAATTATGGTTCTATCTGCTTTTAGACACTATTAGTCTTTTAGATACATAACAATTTCAAAGTTCGATTAACAAATCTCCGAAGAAGTTTATACGATATTATTTTATAAACATATTTTTGATTTTAATAATATTAATAAATAAATTTAAATATGATAATTATATTTGTATATAATAATTATATTTAAATTTCATCGCAAATCAATGAAATCCATGAAATGTTATCAAAGGTAAAAAGAAATATGAAAAAAGAAGAATATTTTTTTTTGTTTTCTCTAAATAAATTATTTATATTTAATATAAACAATGTTCTAAATTTTTAATTAAAATATTGCTAATAATAGGTCAGGTCCATTAATTTTTTTTAGCCAAATCACGGTTTTCCCTAATTTTAGAGTACATAAGGATATTTTTAAGCCTTATGGGAGGGAATTAAATATCCCACATAATAAACCCTGTTACACCAAAATATAGGAATCCATTTAAGAACTAACGAAATGCGGGCTTATTTCCTGTTATATTAAAATGTCTGGGGAACTAAAATTAGAGCTACTGCTTAGTAAGTTCATACTTCGTCTACATTCTTGAATTATTTTTAATGATATATTTAAAAAATTAATTTGCTAATGTTCGCATATGATATGTCATTATTGTGATAAAAAGAATTTAATACTATAAAAAAACTTTTCCAGAACGCTCTTCTTCCACAATCATATGAGAATGAATATTGATCCGTACTTCATTAAAAATGTTATTTCAATTATGTAAATAATAGCAATCCTTACTCTACTGAAAATATTATTGTAATTTCGCAATTAATAGCAATCCTTACGCTACTGTAAATATCAATATATCTGGATAGTTATTTTTCCACACCACATACGTATCTTACAATATCAATACTTTCCCCAATACCTATGACATATATGTATATAAATACATGTTATATAAAGTTCATCCAAAATAATAATTTACATTATCAGACTGGGCGTTATTGCTTTATTTGATTTGTCAAATGATGCCATTTGAGTTTTACGGGCTTGGCAGTGTGAAAAAAACCATTAAAAAGTCTCAAAGACCCAAAAACATAAAAAAAATTTGCAAAACAAGTGAATATTAATCTGGCTTACCACCCACACAAAACCACAGTAACACACAGAAGCGTTTACATTGCAAAAAATTGGCACGTAATGTAGTTCAAAATATATAAGAAGTTTATGGGTTTAGTGTATCGCCGGTTCCATACGACTACTAGAATAATGCGATAAAAGGGTCAGAATAGAAGAAAAGCACTCAATAAGAATAAAAACAGAATCGGTTTAGATGTCCACAAAATTAAAATAAAAAATACTTTTTTAATGACCAAGTAATTTTGGCTAATAAAATGACTTGAAAGTCACTACAAAAACAACAACCAAAAACGCCTTCGTATTTTGGACATTTTTAAGCTGCTCACGTCTGAGTATCTGAAAATGTTCTCGAACAATAAATACCGACAAACACTGGAATTGGTAATAAACGTGATGGGAGCAGATACCGGCAAAATGCATTGTCTATGGCGTACGCGTGCGTAATCGATACTATATTTTTTTTTTTGTTTTATGAACTATGTGTAAAAGTATCTACATACAAGTTACTCATAGATACATACTCGTAGATATACATATATGTATAGTTATAGTATCTACAGGTTCGATAAGTGTAAATCTCGTTGTTGACATAAAAATGCCGCTGCGCACGTATACTTAACAAAAAAAAAAATATGTTAAAGATCAATATTTAAATCATGAGCGGGTGTGAAATGTCGTATTGATTTTATTCTTGTTGACATTATTTGTATTAAATATTTTTAAAACGCTTACGAATTCATTCATTACTTCACATTGAATAGTAATGCAATATATTCGATTTGTTTCGTTTTCAATTACCCACACACTTTGCAGTTTACTTAGATACTTTGCACAAAGCAAATCTATGTACACTCAACTAAACATAGTAACGTTTTGAACGCCTACGAAAAAACCTAACATCATGGCCAAATCCGAAACTCAGTAACAAGTTCCAATGCACAAACAAGATATTACAGACACAGCTGACAGATTCTACAGCACGATGACGTCATAACCAACTAAATGAAACTTGTTTTAACCAAAGCGTCTCCAACATGGTTTAGTCATCGGCGCACAGCAGTTTTCTTTTTCAACCAGACAAGTTCCAAATGTATACGTCTGTTT